TGCTAATACACCAAATAAGGAAACCATTAGAGCAACTTTAATTTGAGTTAAACGTCTTGTTGAAAGAAGACGCTTTCTTTGAACTTGAGACACTGGGGACGGTTGCAGAAACGTACAGCAAGTCTGTTGTGCCCCGCCGGGCGCAGGGCGGCTGTAGGGCTGGTTCCCGCTGACTTCAGCGCTGAGGGACCCATCTGGCTGTTAGGTCCTGTTTGCCTCAAGGACCAGGGCCTTTGTGTCCTTTGGGTCAGAGAAGCCAGGAAACCCTTGCCTGTTTGTGACAGACACAGATGTCATCGTCTGAACTTCCAAGGAAGTGTCATCTTTCCAGGCCCCTCTGTTGATCAGATGGAGCTCTGAGTAAGAAGAAACCTGCACTGATTTATAATGACAGCGAACGATCAGAATTGCTGGAGCGAGGGCCGGCCGAGTGGCGCGATGGTTAAGAACTCGCTTGGGATGCCAGAGGGCCCCGGTTCGGATCCCACATCTGAGGGCCAGTGACACTGCCCTCCACAGCTAAGATGCTGAACGACAGCTCAGCCTGGAGCTGGGCTGCCATGAGTCGCCGGCGACGGCGTAGGCTGCAGCCCTTGTGGAAGTGGGTTGCCATGGGCTACCGTATGTAGCCAGCAGCCAGCGTGAGCGGCCAGCAGCCAGCGTGAGCGGCCAGCAGCCAGCGTGAGCGGCCGTCCAGAAGCCGGCGACTGATCTGCCTCGCCAGAGAAGAGCGCAATGATGGTGCCAACTTGGGCCAGTGAAGCAACATCCTCCACAACTAGACTGAAGAACAAAACGACAGCAACTTGTCTGTTCCCCTTCCCCCAATTCCCCAGCACTGTTTCCTTTCTCCCAACAACAATAAAATCTTAAAAAAAAAAAAAAAAAAAAGAATTGCTGGAGCGGTCAGGAGTGCGGGGGTAGAAGGTTCGAAGGGGCACGAGTGAGTCTGGAAGGTGATGGGGTGTTCACTCTGTGATTGTGGTGATGGGGTCCCGGTGCAAACAACATCAAACTCAGCAAATTGTGCATTTTAAATCAGACAGTTTGTTGTCAGTTTGCCTCCATAAAGCTGTTTAGGAGAGAGAGTACTTGTAACAGTCAGAAGGCTGTGGGAGTGTGTGGGGAGTCCGACTTGAATTCCGATGTCGACTGGACATCTCTGAGCCTCAGTTTCCTCAGCTGTCCCCAAGGTTGTGGGTGAGGACATGAAGAAGTAACGGACCTGTGTAAACTGCTCATCGTATGCATGGCACATGCTAAGAGCTCGTTAAATGGCAGCTGCTACTGAAAAGATATTATCAGTATATATATTGTGATTGTCCTCAAAATATTTGACCATGTCTTTTCCTTACAATTAAACTAAATCTTTTCGAACTCTCAGTAAAGAGGGTCAGAGTCTTTAGAAAAGGTGTGGGCACTGGCGTTTGTTAATGTGCACGTTAATGTGCACGTGCTCCTCCTTGACTGAAAAATAAGCAAAGGTACTAGGCTGTCGGGCCGGCAAATCACTTGTCTGGTTCTTAGCATTTCCCGCTGTGTGGAGGACGGCACAGTTCTTGGTTTGTGGCTTGTGCCGGGGTCCTCCGAGGTGACTCTGTGACTCTACTCATCTTCACACTGCTCGTTAGTCTCGATCTTAAAATTCAAAACCAATCTCTCAAATCGTTTGACATTTTAAGTTATATTTTTTTCCTTTTTTAAAAAAATATGGTTTTACCTTCATGTCAAGAAACTTCACTGACACTAATCCTTGAGAAGGGATAGTCTTGAAAATGTTAATGACATGGGTACTTATGATCTAATTTTAAAAATAAGCTGGAAAATTGTGTGATTATAACCATTAAAAGGATATTAAAAGTGGTGCAATGTTCCTTGTTCTTATTCCACTCACACCCACGACACACTCAAAGGGAAGCAGTCACACTGCCAGCAGCAGTTGTGTAAGAGACAGGCAGGCTAGTCCACCTCTGATCCCAGTGGTTTCATGGTTTTCGTAATGCAGTTAGCTGCTTCCTAATGTAGAACCAGTATACAGTGTGACGCAGAGTACACACAAAGCTGTGCGTCTCCAGCACGTGGCTGGCTGTGCGGAGTGAGCCCCTGCCCAGGGGGTAATGGGAAAAGGCACATTGCTGCTTTTGCTCACCTCATCCCTTCTTGCTTTGTATCCAACTCGGAAGTCTCCCTGTGTCCCGTGCAGGTGGTTCATTTTGACCTACGTGGACAGCTTAACATTTATCCCCATTTCAATGTCAAGCTCTTGTTTTCAGCCCATCTTACCAACCTGTCGTTCATCTTTCTGAATCCAGATTCCAGTCTCAGTTGGTGGCAGGGTGGGTCAGATACCGAGCTGGTGGCCTGGGGATTGGACCCTGTGGGACGAAGGGCCTAACAGACGACAGTGCTGAGTCACACCCTGGCTGGGGGTCTCGCAGGCACTGTGGGCACGTCAACCCCAGCAGGTGACCTCTTTTGATTACCATTTGCATGGCTAATATTTTCCATCCTGGGAGCAGGCAGGAAGCAGTGTCCACTAATCCCACCTCCTACCACTTCAGTCCATGCCAGTGGGGCTGGGTGGGCTTGGGGTGGAGGCTGAGCTCCCCACTAGACCCTGGCAGGGGAAGCAGAGCACCTGCCACCTGCGTCCCTGGGCCTGGGGATGGGAGGTCAGCCCCCAGCTCAGTACCACGGACACCTCTCATTGGGGTGGAGTGTCTGCCACGTGGGGGCTGGGAGCTCAGATGCCTGCCCTGCCAACAGCACCTTGTGCCTGATGGGGGCCCACAGTGTGCTGCCCACTTCTGTGGAGCAGGGGGTGAGGTGGAAGATGAGCTCCCTCTCAGCCCTGCTGACACGGGGTGGGGTGGTTTTCCGCTGGTGTTTGGCTGAAGTAGAATGGGTGTTGCCAAAAAGATGTTTCTGTTGTTAGGTCACTGCGAAGTTAGGAACAGTTCCCAAGACCTCTCTCACTTCTGATGCCAACAGAAAGTGTGGGGGCGGTTCCCCAGACCACACTCATGTTGGATCATTTGCCCAAAGGACTCCGAGCTCATTGAGCTGTCATACTCATAGCTATGTTCATTACAGCAAAGGATTCAGATTGCAGTCAGCCAAAGGCGGCACCTCGTGGGGCAGGCTCCAGGACGGCTCCCGCACGGAGCTTCCAGGGGTCCCCTGCTAGTGGAGGCGTGGACAGTGCTGGCTCCTCCCAGCATTGGTATGTGACATCACACACGGAGTAGTGCCCACCAGGGAAGTCCTCCCAGCCTCGGCGTCCAGTCTTTACTGGCGTTTCGTCACATTGACCCCCCACGTCACCCCCGACATGGCTAACCATAGTCTCTAACCCCTCAGGTACTGTGTGACCTAAAGCCCCCACCCTGAATCACATGGTTAGACTGTGTGGTGTGGCCAAGGCCCCAGATCAACAGAGATGCTCTTATCAGGCAGGACATTCCAAGGGCCCAGAGATCCCCTCCCGGCAGCCAGTGGCAGGGCAGACCTCCCTGGACAAGGACACAGCCACCCCTTCCAACCCTTGGCTGGACTCTTCTTGGGAGCGGGCTTTTTAGGCTGTGCTGCTGGCTGCGCACCACCCTGTCCAGGAAGTGGGGGAGACAAGAAGGAACCCCGCAAACTCACCACTCCAGAAGTCCCCAAGTCCCTAAACTGTCCTACTGTCAGAGTCTTCCTATGCGTGTTGATTGCATTATGTCTGTAGTTTTTGAAGTTGTAAGAGGGCGGATCTGGGAGCAACGGGGCTGCTCCATTGGCTGGAACCAGGACTGTAACCAGGTGAGGCATCGTAGGTGTTGCCTGGCATCTAATCTCTGAGCCAGCATCCCCAGCCGGGGTTACCTACAACTTCATCAGTATCCTTCAAGCCAAGCAATGATCAGACACTCGTCTTCTTCCTTGTTATGTCCCTAGCTCTTAGAAAGTCCCTGGGACAGACCTGGGGCTCAGAACACCTGTTGAGCATGACCGGGCCAAGGCTGCAGTCCTCTGGCTTTTCTGGCATTGACATTGACTGTTGGTCGATGACAGCCTTTAGTGGAAGTTGTAAAGCAGGGACAGATCCATCATCATCTGCCTGCACTTCTCCACACACAAGGTTTGCCCACCCACCCCACGAGCTGGCGAGGCCTGCTAGTCGGCTCTGCCTGTGGACCGAGGGTGCGCACACCCGCTGAGGTTCGCAGCCGTCACTCTGCACCTGTCCCCCTTTCGCTTGCTCTCCTTTTGTTTTTGACGATCAGGCCACCTTTCCCCATCTCAATCGTGGATCTGCTGCTGTTTGGACCCTCCTCGGGGATGACTGACGGCGCTGCTAGAACCCGGAAGGCTCTCACCTGGGCCCACGTTCAGCAGCCTGGTGGGTGGACCTGTACCGTGTCCCCACTGACCTCGGGCTTCAGGCCCCTGCTAAGCCGGTGTGTGCTCTGCCCTTCCCAGATAGAGGGGCAGGGACAGTGCACAGCACATGTCAGCCACATGCTGATTTGGATTAAGTGTACATGGCAAAAGGGGTAATTTTTTTTGCAGGGATGGGGCGTCTTTAACACTTTTCTACACTGTAGCTCGTATGAAGCTTGAACCTTCTTGTTACCGTGTTTTTGTTTCACCGTCCAGCCTCTCATCCTGGGTGCCTCCTCTTCGCTGGGTCCTGCATTCCCGCCCAGTGATGGGTCTGTCAGGCCCCCCCGTCTTTTCAGTGCAGTGATAAAGGACCTCCAGTCACCTCGTCAGTCACACGTGGCCTTTCGGGCCGTTGTAAGCAGCATTAGTCACATTACAAGGAGAAGATGACGGTCCTGATGGGGCAGCCTAACCAGACTCACCGGGTGGAGGATGGAGGGGGAGGGAGACCGCCAGCCACGTGGAGGCAGGCTCTGAGGGGCACAGCCACGGTCCCATCAGGGTCTGAGACGGCGAGCGAAAGCCTCCCGGGGCGGGGCCCTCATCTGTAACTTAGCTGTTCATTGCCTTTCCAGGTTCCTGGGCAGTGTCCGGTCTCTACATGAAGCTGCAGTGAAAGGACCCCGGCGACAGGGCCCCGCCCGCCCAGGGACAGGATGACCAAGACGCGGCTCTTCCGCCTGTGGCTGGTGCTGGGCTCGGTGTTCATGATCCTTCTGATCATCGTGTACTGGGACAACGTGGGCACCGCCCACTTCTACCTGCACACGTCCTTCTCCAGGCCACACCCCCTGGAGCCCCGCCCCACCCCCGCGCAGGGGGCGGGGCGCGAGCTGGCGTCCGAGGTCGGGGAGCTTTTGGAGACGCTGCTGGGCACCGGCACCAAGCAGGTGGCCGCCGTCTCCGGGAAGAAGACGGAGGCGCCCCCGCCGCCGCCGCCGGCCTCCGGCAGGTCTGCGCTCAGCAACATGGAGGAGCGCGTGAGGGGCTACGACTGGTCCACGCACGACGCCCAGCAGAGCCCGGACCCCGACGGGCGGCAGGCGGAGCGCAGGAGCGTGCTGCGCGACCTCTGCGCCAACGCCAGCTTCGTGTTCCCCACCAAGGAGCGCTCCTTCGACGACATCCCCAACTACGAGCTGAACCACCTCATCGTGGACGACCGCCACGGCGTCATCTACTGCTACGTGCCCAAGGTGGCCTGCACCAACTGGAAGCGCGTGATGATCGTGCTGAGCGAGAGCCTGCTGGACCAGGGCGCCCCCTACCGCGACCCGCTGGACATCCCCCGCGAGTACGTGCACAACTCCAGCACCCACCTGACCTTCAACAAGTTCTGGCGGCGCTACGGCAGGTTCTCGCGCCACCTCATGAAGGTCAAGCTGAAGAAGTACACCAAGTTCCTGTTCGTGCGCGACCCCTTCGTGCGCCTCATCTCCGCCTTCCGCAGCAAGTTCGAGCTGGAGAACGAGGAGTTCTACCGGAAGTTCGCCGTCCCCATGCTCAGGATGTACTCCAACCACAGCAGCCTGCCCGCGTCCGTGCGCGAGGCCTTCAGCGCCGGCCTCAAGGTGTCCTTCAGCAACTTCATCCAGTACCTGCTGGACCCCCACACCGAGAAGCTGGCGCCCTTCAACGAGCACTGGAGGCAGGTGCACCGCCTCTGCCACCCCTGCCAGATAGACTACGACTTCGTGGGCAAGCTGGAGACCCTGGACCAGGACGCCGCCCAGCTGCTCAGGCTCCTGAAGGTGGACAAGCTGCTGCACTTCCCCCCGAGCTACCGGAACAGAACTGCCAGCAGCTGGGAGGAGGACTGGTTTGCCAAAATCCCCCTGGCCTGGAGGCGGCAGCTTTACAAGCTCTACGAAGCCGACTTTGTTCTCTTCGGCTACCCCAAGCCCGAAAACCTCCTCAGGGACTGAAGGCCTTAGGGGAACAATGCGATCACCAAAAAACAAAAACACATGTGCTTGGATTGTTCCTTTAAAACTCGCTGCAGGGTCTGCTGCGCCACCGCCATCTTCCGAGGATGGAGCCATGGGTTGCCACATATATTTTTTTATGGCCTCGCTTCCCTCCCAGTTTAACACAGGGCAGAATTCCACAACGCTCCCTTGGACGAGGCAGCTGAAAACCCTGGGACTGACCACACCCACACTCCAGTTTTTACAATTACCTACGATTTTGCAATCTAGACTTATTGTTTACTCCACTGCCTGTATGCATTGAGTACTGTGTTAATATTGTTTTTTAAGATTAATATATTTCAGATATTTAATACGAGAAGGGGAGGCGGGAATGGTGGAGTAAAGGTCTCATCTGCTCCTTCTGCCTGGTCTTGTGGTTATTCTGGTGGAGCGAGAACAGCAAAAAGTATAGGGCTCTGCGTGCTGTGACGGCTGGCGGTTAGACTCGGAAACTTGCCTCAGGGAGGGCCTTTTCATGGTTGTCTTCAGCCAAAAGGAGGAACCTCAAATTGAAATCAGACCTGACCTGTATTTGTAAAAGCGTAGCAGACAAATCCTTCCAAAGCGAGCACTCGTTTATTTGGGGATATAGCAGAAAAGTGAAAGTGGTTAATAGGGTTTTATGTTTGAGCTGGAGCCAAAGGTAAGCCGTGCTTCGAGGTCACGGTTGCAGAGGTAGGATTCCAAGTCCAGCGGTTCGTTTTCGTTTCTAAATCGTGGGCATAGGACTTGGAGTGGCGGGGATGGTGTGGGTAGGAGTCTGTGCCTCCGGCACGTTCCGCCGCCAGCAAGGCGAGGCTCCACATGGTTTTCATTGCGGGCCTGGCTGGTTGGGTTCAGCTCCGGGGACGTTCACCCTTGAGGACATCTCTGACACTGGGATCAATGGTCCTGACTTGGTAACGCCGTCTGCTAGTCCAGCAAGGCTCTTTCTGAACACCTGGTTCAAATTCCTTTGCAGTTTTTGCTGTGAACGTGTAATTGGTGAGAAGTGTGCAGTCATTTCGTGGTGTTTGGGCCTCCCATGAGCCCATCTGTAGTGTTGGGTCCTCGACGCCCACTCCCTGAGGAGCTGGCGGCGGGCTTAGAAGCCCTCCGCTCGGGTCTCCTCGGTGTGTGGTGTTCTTGCCCTTGCCACCTTGTCTGAGCCTGTGGCCTCTGGGTGTGAGGTGAGCAGCTCACTTTACAGACTCAGGGCTCTGCGGTGTTAGAAACCACCTGCCTCCTTTTGAAGTTCCCCCCTTTTTTATTGGGGAACAGTGTCTTTTTCCAGGACCCATCAGCTCCAAGTCAAATAATTGTTTCAAATAGTTGTGGAGGGTGCAGCCCAGTGGCCCATGCAGGGATCAAACCAGCAACCTTGGTGGTATGAGCACTGCACTCTAACCAACTGAGCTGACCAGGCACCCCAAAACCCCCTTCTTTTTATAAAACTGTCGCAGCAGATACGCAGACTTGCAGAGCCCAGTTTCAGAACACTTGTCTGAAGAGCCATCACTCTGGATCTCTTCCAGGACACCTGTTCACGCAGTTGTCTGCGGCACCTTGTGCATTGGACTGTGGTCACCAAGCCGACAGGGTGGCTCTGCCTCGGGGGGCTCTGTGGTCTTAAGTGCAACATGAGATCCCAGGCCAGTGGCTGAGCAGCTGCAAGGTCTGCATCAGAGGAGTGAGAGGTGAGGCAGGCTTCCTGAGGAAGATGGCGCCTGAGCTCGGCCTGAGAATGGGAAAGGCTTTGACGTTCGGACAGGCGTGTGACCCCGGAAAAGAGCAGGGTGTATGTGAGCAGTACGTGGGAGACGTGGGTGTTTATTGCTGAGTGCGTCCGTGTGTCACTTCATCTCTGAAGCCCATGGGATTTTAGTGTACTTTTCCTGGGGTGGGGGGTGGGGGCACCCCGTGGCAGAGACCAGGCGGAGGCAGGGTTTGGACCCAGGTCTACTCCAGGCCTGGTGCACTTTACTGCCTCCCCACGGGGGTGGAGATGGGTCGCACGTGCTGAGAGGAGGTGCAGCGGAGCCTGGCGGCCTTGACCTCGGGCCCCAGAATTGAGATTTCACTTTGGAGGCAGCAGGGAGCCATGGAGGTTTCTGGATGGAGGACTTTGGGTGCTTTGGGGCAGTCTGGTGTCAGAGTGTGGAGGGCAGGGGCCTGGGAGGGCCAGTCAGCAGGCCACTGCAGACCCCCTGCAGAGAAGGGGCCTCACCGCCCGACCAGGAAGTGGCCTTAGGCTGGGTGGGGTGAAGGACAGACAGGAGGTGCCTGGTGATGGGAAGACCGGGGGTTTGTGGTAGGGAAGAGGCACTGCCGTTTTCTTTGGTCTTTTTAGGGAGGGCTGAGATGTGCAGAGACAGCGCCTTCCTTACGTTACATTCTCCTGGGGCCCAGGTCCGCTGAGGGGCCACAAAGAGGCTTCTTCAGAGCCCGCAGGACAGGCTCCCACCAGAGCCCACTGCTTCACTGCTACGTGGGAGGGAAGACACAGGAAAGGGCAACGAAGACCCTTCTTCTGACGCCGTAACTTTTCCCCCCAGTGTTTTTTGTGTTCAAATACACGTAACAAAATTTACCTTTTTCACCTTTTTTTTTTTTTCTCACGGGCCCGACGACGGGCGCCGGGCGGGGAGACAACCCCGCCTGGCGTGGCCGCGCGGACCCGCCTTTTTAACCATTTTTAAGTGTCCAGTTCAGGGGCCTTAAGCACATTCATGTTGCGTCACCATCACCACCGTCCATCTCCAGAACTTTCCACCTTCCCAAACTGAGACTCTGTCCCCATGAAACACTAACCCCCTCCCCTCCCCCAGCCCCTCACCACCTTCTACTTCCTGTCTCTGTGAACCTCACTCCTCTAAGGACCTCGTATCAGTGGGGTCACACAGAGTGTGTCCTTTGTGACTGGCTGATTTCATCAGCACAGTGTCCTCAGGGTCCATCCACGCTGTAGCAGGTGACAGAATTCCTTCCTTTCTAAGGCTGAGTAACGTCCACCGTGGGGCTGGACCCCATTTGTCTGTCACTCACCCGTCAGTGGACACCGGGCTGCTCCCGCCTCCTGGCAACTGCACAGTGCTGCTGTGGACGTGGGGTGCAGGGATCTCTGAGACCCCGCTTCCCGTTCTTTTGGGCGCAGGCCCAGAGGTGGGATTGCTGGGTCATGTCTGATCTGGTAGCTTTATGAGCTGAGTCAACGTGGAGAAACCCGCAGGCCTCAGTGGTACCTTTGTCCTGAATCATGTGAAATAAACACAGGGCCAGGGGTGAGCTTAGAGAAGGTCCTGGGAAGACAAGATTGTGTGGGGGTTCGGGCTCCCGTACAGAGACGGGCTGTCCTGGCCTTGGTCACCGGATGACGCTGTGTAGCTGACATTCTTCAAAACAGGCCGTACATTTACGGTGAATAACGTAAGGATTTGAAGCACCTCTCCAGCCACCATCGGCGTGCTCTTGGCGTCCGCCTCTGTTCCTAGTATCTCACTGAAATGTGTTCGCTTCCAGAATGTTCACACGTGTCAAATCTCACTGGGTTGTGGGCTCACTAGCGGCAGAGCCACGTCTCCTTCATTTCTTCATCCCTGGTTTAGGGGACCCCCCTTGGCCCCTGTTTTGGGGAGTGTGCCCAAGAATTCGTTCCCCTTTGTCATGTCCCTGACCCACAGAACAACATCGTGGCGGGAAGTTTGGCTCTATACGGTTTGTGGTACGAAGTCCTCCGTGCGTCGTCACGGAGCCCCAGCGTGGCCGCCAGGGCCTGCCTGTCACGGTGGGAGCCTGGCCCAGCACCCGCGGCTGCCCTGGACGCGTGCCCCCCGGCCTCAGAGCTGTGGGCTCTGCACCTCACTCAGGCGCTTAGCCCAGGTGTGTGTGTGTGTGCCTGCCGGTCCTTATTCCTCTTAAAATGCCTACTGCACCTTCCTGCACCGCCGCCGCGCTCTGCGTACGGCTCCTAATGAACACTTAGGGGGCATTCTCCTGTATGGCGTTCGTCATCTGTTTCGAAGGACTTTCCACTCTGAGGAATTTTAGGTTCATTTTGCGGCAATGGCTAGGATCTCATTTTCCCTCTGTGGTCCCCTGGGTTTTATGGTAGTGGGATCTCTGCAGATGGGGACAGTGACATGCTCCCTTACAGTGTGAGTCTCCTCCCCGCTTGTCCCATGAGGAGAGCAGGGCCTGGCAGGCCATGGGCACACGTGACTGTTTATTGAGTGAGTGAATAAATGAAGATGTGAAGGAGTGATGCTGTTTGCGCCTCAGTCCGGGCCTGTGAACCAGGACGGCTGTCATCATTCTCGCCATGTGTTTGATAAGGTGACCGAGCGCAGAGGTTCAGTGACAGGCTCCAAGGTCCTGGGGCTTAGAGCTAAGTCCCTCTGACTTCTGGCCTTCTCTAAGCTCCGTGTTGCCTGGAGCTCGTGAGAGCAACTCACACTGCTCCTGGGGAAGCGATGCCTCCTCGGTTGCAGAGAATAGCAACATTTTTATTCCCTTCCTGCATTCTCTCTCTCCCCTTTAAAGCCACTGTCACTCCCTTCCCTCCTCCCAGAGAGAGAGGATGCCGTGTTCCACACTCACCTTCCACAGCCGTCTGCTGAGGGAGGGCCGTGTTCACCAGGACCTGGCCAGGCCACCCTCTCCGTCCCCTGCCCCGCTCCCTGCCCCTCATCTGGACAGGCCGAGGGGCTGGAGAGCCGGGTGGAAGGCACAGGTGCGGCCACGGCGCATGGCTAGCAGCTCATGGACGGCTCTCTCGTGGGGCCTTTGAGGGGGGCCCAGCTGTGGACCAGCTGTGCTGGCCCTGATCGTTAAATGTGACATGGAATGGGTCCCCGTGGCAGGACTTCAGGGGCCGCATGATGTCCCCAGAGCCTTTTCCTTAAGTTTCTCTGGAAGGAAGGTTGATTTTAGGTGGGAGTTTCTCCTCAATGTGTGCCCTCCCCACTTGGATGGGAGAGCCGTGCACAGGGCCGATGTGGCGCTCTTGGCAGATGGCTTGGGACAGTCTGTTCTCCTGGGCGAGCCCACCCTGCAGAGTGACAGGCTCCCAGATGTCACGCAGACCCGAGGGTGTCCACTCACCCAAGCAAATGATCCAGGGGTAATCATTGGTCATTTCTCTATAAGCTATCCATCCTTTACTGCCCACCCCACACTCCAAAACCTACAAATACAAAAAGGTATATCTTGGCTAGCATAGACGTAATTATTCTAAAAATGTTTAAACATTTCCCCTAAAGGGGCAGTTTAGAAGGACTACTTATGGTGGACATCTGCTGCTTTGGCCGACACGCATTCAGTCCTCCTTCTGGTCCGTTTCTCTCCCTCACCCTTAGCCCAGGAGACTTGAGCAAGTTCATCCCTC